CTTCAGTGGTGTTCCATGTGTACGACTCGGACGCTAATGGATTTCTTGACAAGAGAGAAATTGATGGTATTATCGAGCAGATGATGAATGTTGCTCGATATCAACAGTGGGATACTATAGAATTAGAACAGGTAGAGCAATTCATCAATCAATGTTGATGCGCTTCAATAATATGAAATTTGTTCTAAAATTATACACTCTTTCTATTATAATCTACAAGTCACGAAAACTTTTATTACAGATCTTACGCCAACTTATGGCTGATATTGACTATGATAATGATGGTATCGTCTCGTTGGATGAATGGAGAAGAGGAGGATTAACAAACATCCCACTTTTGGTTTTGTTGGGTGTTGATACGGTAAGAATGCAGAAGAATCGCAAGATGAAAAAACAAAGTGAATGTGCAATGATGACCGCATTTTTCTTTGCTACAACCATTAACATCCGATGATTTTGCTGTATCACAAACTTTAGAAGCAGTGGTATTTTGTCGAACAGAAATGTTTGGGTGAAAATGACTGCGAGTCCATGTAAAACTTATCGCGCATCCAACTACTAGTTTTGAAACAGGAAGTTTTGAAATGGGTTAAGTGGGAAATCGATCATTGTGGGATTGACCAAATAACAATAAAATCCATTGTAAAAACAATATAGCCCCTATAAAGTCAGAAACTTTCCAAGTAACCGCACGGGACTTCCTAGTTCCAAACTTTGTAGTGCAGGCATAGAACTCTAGGTAATGAAACCTTCGAGTTCTGGATTTGAACACTTTTATTAAAATGCTGTTAGAAACCAGAGCAAGTTTTTGCTTCAAAAACCCTCGATTAGATTGCAGTTAAGTTTGTTTTAATTATTTTAAAAGGGTAAGCTGACTGATATAAACTTTAGAAATGACTCTCTTGTAACTTTTAGGTCTTTACAAGGGTAAATCTCATCTGCTGCTCATTTTCTAAGCCGTATATAAAGAGAGATAGTTGAAATATAAACTTGAGAGTGGATATAGCAATCCTAACTACATTTCAAAAGGCAAAGAGGTGAAATAACATTAAATCTTTTTGAAAACCGATTATTAGACATTTTTTGTTCACGCTTCGCTCCCTTTCGCACAATCTCCATACAAAAC